AAGCTAAGAAGAGTTGAAAGGGGACTTACCTGAGAAGAACTTCCAAACTTTGAGTTAATGTGGTTTCATGACAAGCTGCATTCCTACATTTTGGCAACATAGAAGGGAAGGAAAACTGCTTATATTTTTAACTACTGTTATCTTAGGTTCAGATTAGGTTTCTCCTTTCCATTTGTTTTTCAGCTCACCCTGGAACATGTCTTAGGTAATAATAAAATGATAACAATAATAATAATGTATCAATAATAAGAGAAGGAGCATCTAATGAGCTCCTTTCTGCTAGGCACTGTGGTAAGTGCTTTACATGGATCATCTATAACCCTCATAAAATCCTTACAAGATAACTACCAGAGTTTGCCCTGCTTTCCAGATAAGCACATCTCTCTCCACTGAGAGATCTGGTGACGAGTCCAAGGGAACAGACCTGGGAACTGTGGATTTGGAATGGGAATGCTGGCAGCCAGTCTGACTCTAAACCCCACGGCCCTACATGCGTGCGACAGTTCCTTATTGGGACTGTCCGACTCCACATGCCCATGTTGGACCCTGTTCCAGGAGAGTGCGGTGAACAAGCCGAGGCTGGCCCCATCCTCATGCTTCCTGAGAATGTCCCTTCCATGTAGGCCTGGGACCTGGAGAGGAGCTAGGGACAGGTCTACTCCAGAGTGAAACTCTGCCACACACTTGCTGTATCTTCTGCTCCCTTTCACTTTCTGAGCCTCAATTTCCATCTTTAAACATTGCAGGGATTCAGACTGAAGATTAATCAGAAGGAAAAACCTTTCCCTACTGATGTCTCATAGTCTTCTTGTATTCAGCAGCCAGGAGTCACTGAATAACCAGCAAAGGACCTTGGGGATCAGGTGTGTGAGCCAAAGAGGTTAGTCTTTTATGTTTCTGACCGTCAGCAGGAGTGGCCCCCCCAGCAGGAGTGGCCCCAGTGGAAGGCAGCCTGACTTCCTCACATTTCTAGTTGGAGCCTGAAACATGACAAAGACAGGTTCCCATTTGTCCCATCAGCTCAGCACTGCAGGCCCTTCACAGCTTCTCCGCACTTTCACAGCGGGGTGTCTGAGCCTCTCCCAGCAGCTTGGGGAAAGGGATTCATTTTCTAGAAAAGGAAGTAGACTTTGTCACGGAAATTGATTTGCCAAAGAACACAGCAGAAGCATAGAAATGGGGCAGAAATGGGGGCTGAAAACATGCCAGGACATTCCATCCTAGCTGAGTGCTTTCTTCCTCCTCTTCTTAACATTTATTTCTAATTATGCAAATTATACGTTTAAGACTACATAAATGATGGGTTATACAGATAATGTATTTATGCATGCCATCCCCATCTAATAATAATAAAATAATAAAGATCTAATAAGTCAAAGTAATCGAATAATAAAGATACCACAAAATTCCACTTGACACCAACTCAGTTCCACTCCCCTCCCAAGAAGCTACTGCCCTCCTTATCTGGCTTATATAATTTAAGAACATATTCCTTGTATTTGTATGTGTCAAAATGTACATATACAAATGCATGGTTTTGGTTTCTTGTTATATATAAATAAGATGATGCAGTGTATAACTGCAACTTACCTTTGCTAAGGTATAACTTCATGTCACATCAATATATGATTCCTCATTCTTTTTAGTTGCTGTGTGTATCTCATAGGATAGACATTGTCTAGTTTGCAGTGTTGTTTATATTCTTACTGCATCTCACATCTGAGTGTGGCATTTGAGGCTTGCATCAGAAAATCAGCAGCCTCTCTTCTTCTGGGGCTGTGTTAACATATGAAGATCAAGAAATTGCTTCAAGTTTAAGTGGCAGCAGGAACTCTGATAGGGCCGCTTCCCGGGGCGGGGGTGGAGGGTGGGGATGGGGCTCACTCTCAGATGGGCCTCACGTGGTCTCCTCTCTCCCTCTGAGGATCTAAGCCACTTTGCTCAGCTGCATGGGCTTTAGTCAGATTGCTTCCACCACTTGTTAGCAGTGTGTTTGTAAGCAAGATATTAAACCTATTAAACGCTAGTTTCCCCAGAAATAAAGTCGGGAACTAATGATCATATATATTTTAAAGTGTTGGTATAAGGATATACATGAAAAGCACTTGGTAAAACATTTTAAAAACGATTTCATCATATCGTTGTTATTGTTTAGTCGCTAAGTCGCATCAAACTCTTTCACGACCCCACGGACTGTAGCCTGCCAGGCTCCTCTGCCCATGGGATTTTCGCAGACAAGAATGCTGGAGTGGGTCACCACTTCCTCCTCCAGGGGATCTTTCCGACCCAGGGATCAAGCCTGTGTCTCCTGCATTGGCAGGTGGAGACACTGGGTCACCAGGGATGCCCTCTTGGTATCATTGCTTCCTCGTAATGGCCTCACCAGTTCTCACTCTGCTTCCTATCATCCCGGGATCTGGTCTAAGGAACAGAAGGTTATAGTATGATTAGGTTAAAAAAAAAAAAAAAGACAACCCTTTCACAATAAAGGGAATTATGGTGGGAGCAATACTACCTCCACTTGCATCACATTGTCCAGTTTACTGAAGGCTCTCATTGGACCTTCACAATTGCCATGTGGCATGGGTGTTAGTCCTTTCTACATGAGGAAACTGAGGCTCCAATCTCAGGGTTTTGACCATCTGCAGCACCCAGCAGTCATCTGATGGATCAGAATATGAGCCCGGGTTTTCTGATTCCAATATGAAGTTCCTGGAAGAACTGTGGCGTCAGCTATTATTTGGAGATTGTTAGGACTCACACATCTGGCCTGATTCTCTAAAAGTGACATTAATTCAGTAATCCATCCATGAAACTTTTCTTAAGGTCTTTAAAATATCTGCCAGACACGGCACCAAGAACTGGTTACACACAACTGAATGGACCAACAGGACAACTCAGCTCTCTGTTGCAGGTAGATATGGGCAAACAACTTAGGGACCAAATCCTCCAGCCTGTAAACTAAGACTGGTTTTACTTTTTAAAGTGGTTGGAAAACAAGATATTTTGTGACATGTGAAAATTATGTGAAATTCGGATTTGTTTCCAAAAAATAAAGTTGTATTGTAACACAGCCATGCCCATTCCTTGATGTTTCCTCTATGGCTGTTTTCACACAACAGCAGAACTGAGTGGTTGTCATTTTTTGTTTGTCTTTCAGTTGCTAAGCCGTGTCTGACTCTTTGCAACCCCATGGATTGTAGCCTGCCAGGATCCTGTCCATGGGATTCTCCAGGTAAGAACACTGGAGTGGGTTGCCATTTCCTTCTCCAGGGGATCTTCCCAAACCAGAGATTGAACCCAGGTATCCTGCATTGGCAGGCCAGTTCTTTACCACTGAGCCACCAAAGTGGTTGTCATAGTTGAACCTGTGGCCCTGAACAGAAGGTGTGCTGATAGCTGCTTTAGGGCAATCTCTATCCAGCCTTTCATTCTACAGACAGTTTGCCTTCGATGGTAGGCATCTTCCAAGTTTTGTTTTTCTGTTGTTCCAGGCTGGCGATCTTTAATAATTTAAACGGTCCCTGCTGTANCCCCCACCCCCCCCAAAAAAAAAGTCTGTCACTGTTTCCATTGTTTCCCCATCTATTTGCCATGAAGTGATAGTACCGGATGCCCTGATCTTAGTTTTCTGAATGTCGTGTTTTAAGCCAAAAGCATTACTTAGATTTGGTTGTTATGGTTACGCTTCCCTCGTGGCTTTTGGGCTTCCCCTGTGGCTCAGCTGGTAAAGAATCCACCCGCAATGCGGGAGACCCGAGCTTGATTCCTGGGTTGGGAAGATCCCCTCGAGAAGGGAAAGGCTACCCACTCAGTATTCTGTCCTGGAGAATTCCATGGACTGTATAATCCATGGTGTCGCAAAGAGCCAAGACAGGACTGAGCAACTTTCACTGGTGGCTCAGATGGTAAAAGAATTCGCCTACAATGCAAGAGACCTGGGTTCAATCCCTGGGTCAGGAAGATCCCCTAGAGAAGAGAATGCTACTCACTACAGTATTCTTGCCTGGAGAATTCCATGGACAGAGGAACCTGACAGGGTACAGTAAAGATGGTTGCAAACAGTTGGAAACGACTGAGAAACTCATACACATGTTACGGTTACAGTGAAAAAACAGGTTTAGATGAGTCTTAGCTGAGAGTTGGGGGCTCTGTATTACTTTGAAATTATCTAGAATGTCCTGTAATTTGTTTCCCACCTTTTAGTGGTCACAGCTCTCACCTGGAGAGTGGAATACACTCTTAGAAGAGAGGTAGCTGAGTTAAAAACAAGGTAATAGAAATGACTGAATGCAGCACCATTCTTCCTAATATAAATAGGCAAATTTAATTAAAGTCCTAAGAAACTGATTTAACAGGGTGAGTGTTAGTAAATACTTGCCAGCACCTTGTCTTTCTTTTAAGTATTAACAATGAAGAGAGAGGCAGCCTGGCAGGAATCAGACACTAGAATTCTTGTCCGGCTTGACCTTAATCCGCCCCTGACCATGAGAAAGTCGTTTTCCCTCTAGGCTTCAATTAATCCCCTGTAAATGAAGGGGTTGGACACTTACACCGCATACAGATCGTAATTACATATTCTATTTGGAAAGAGATTATAAAATATTCCCACAGACTTTCAGTTTGTGTAGTTTGTTGCAGTTACTCAGCTAGAAACTGGCAAAGCCAGCACCCAAATGCAGGTGTTGCTCTAAAGGTTTTTTTGCCTTAATCCTGGACACTGTGATACTGCATCTGTCACTGCTGTGTATCAGGTAAATTTCTCTCCTTGAGAAAGGACATCTCCTGAAGACAAGGTATCTGGGGAAATTCTGCTGCTCTCAGTGTTCTATCAAAAAGAGTTCTGTGAGTTGAACATTTTGCAGCCATAGAACTTTTAAAAAAGTGATCACAATTAGATTACACTAAAATCTTACTTAGACACAACTCTATCTACACATTCCTTTGCTATGTAGTATCTGCTCCTCTTTAAAATGAGCGATTCAGTTCCAAGACATGACAAAAATTTTAATAAACTTTTATTTTCATATTCAAGATAAAGCATATACACAACTGAATATGGAAATAAATAACTAGAAATGCTTTGGAAACTTTTCCATTTCCCCCTCAAACTCGTAAGTCTTTTTAAGTTCATTTTAAGAAATACGGCAACTATAATACCAAGAGAAAAAAGAACCACAATTTTGTACAGAAACATATAGTTGCCTCTGACTATAAGGTTTAACTGGAGTTTTAATAAACACAAAAGAGCACAAGACAAAAAGACTCTTCAACAGATTTACTCAAACAGCTTCGCTCGAGAAGAAAAAGGCACAGATTTAAGGGGATGACAGTGATTTTTAAGAATATAGTAAATGGGGGCTCAGCCAAAAAGTGATACTTTATGAACTAAGTCTGGAAAAATGAACAAAATGAACTCTTTCCAATTAACCTGCCTTCATTAAAATGAACTTTTAAATTAAACTGTATAAACATATGATATAAAGCTGGTACTTAGGAAGTATCTTTGTATATCTCCTCTATGTACAAATCTTTGTATACAACTTCAATGTTCCTGATACATTTTCTATACACCAAAATGAGCCCGGGCCTCCCAAGTGCATGCCCCCAAGTCTCTGTGGGGCTCTCTGGCAGCTAGGCGGCCCCAGCAGCACTCCCAGGACAGCTGGAAAGAAGAGGGCCAGTTAAATGTAGTCATCTTCAACGGGCTCTCCATTGACGTCACAATAGTGGATAAAGATCGCCACTACTCGCTGAAACACACCCTTCTTCATCTGACGCATCTCTGAAATTTCCTCTCCTATTGTTTCCATACAGATGTCTGCAGACAGCTGCCCTTTCCTTCGAGGAGCATAGATGGTGCCTTGGAAAGTAGAAAGAAAAGGGGAAACAAGGTTATCAAAATCATTTGGGAAGCTACTCTGATTAAGCTGGTCCATGAGATAAGCCTGTATACTCTCATGGAATGTACTGATGTATGTTTAGCTCATGGAGTGGGTTCCCATCAGTGTGGTTATAATACTATGTTTGATGCCAAAAAGAGCACATATGATTAAAGGCCCAAGGAGAAAATGCACCAGAGATGTAAGTCATATATATGTACATTTAGTTTATGAAATCTATTTCCTCCTAAAATCTACACCTAAACTGTTAAGTTACCATATGCTACCCAACAAGCAGCAGCTCATAACTAGCAGAACAATTAGTATAAGTGGAACAATTTTGAAACAATATAACGGACCAATTCTTTAATAAAAAGTAACAAGATCATCAACATTTAGGTAACTTAAAAAAAAAAAACTAGGCAGGAAAATCTGTCTGAAGGGCTCCTTCCTACATATCCCTAGTTAAGTCAATGATTCTCTATTGTACGCATTTAGAGCTGTTCTGTTTTGAGCAAGGGGAGAACCAAACAATAATAAGAAGCAAAAACATTTATATGGGAAGTGATTAAAAGCTGCACTGCTTGTAACACAAAGTACTCAGGATCTAACACTCAAACTAGAGAATAAAAATCAAATCAGGTCATAATTACTTTCTTCATCATCCTCAAAATCGTATCTGGCAAAGCTGTTAGGTTCTGCTGCCCGTAGTGATCTCAACCAAGGGAAGTCTGAAATCATGGAATATGGCGCTCCATCCACAACACCTGAAAGAAGACAGATCAACAGTGCTACTGGTGGGGAAGTAATGATAAGGCCAAATGGTGTAGCATTTCGAAAGCAGCACCAGAGCTATGGATTCCAATTCTAGCTCTGCTACTACTTGGTCATGTGATTTTGATCATCCTTGGCTTTCATTAAGCCTCAGTTTCTCCCCCTTTATGTGTGTGTGTATACACAAATAAAGAGGCTGACACAGGTTCCCTCAAGTCACTGCAACTCAAGCTGCATCAAGTTTCAGTTTCTTTTACTTTTTGTTCAATACTGTCGATCATTTTAGAGATGGCAAGGACTCATACGGGGAGAGCAGTATGCATCTCATCCCTGCTGCCTGCAGATGTTTAATATTCCCCTTACTCTGACAAACTGTAAGGCTCCCACTTCTACCTTCCCTAAGACATGTCTCTCCGTCTAGTTAGTTAACAGCTATTTAGCTTTCCAACCATTTACAAATAAATGCTCACCTTCTAACGTGTAGATTTCTCTACCCCAGGGATACTTAGGGTACTTCTTTAAGTCATCTTCACTTCGTGTGGCTTCAGGGAAGAATTCATACTTAATGAGCTCTCTGGAGGCAACAAGAAAAATTAAAAAATTATAAAAGTGAAAAAAAATGTTGGGATATATGTTAGAAAGGAACTATCAAAATGTGTCTTGCCTCGATTCTAATGAAGATCTCAAACAAAATATTAAAATAACAAATGTGTAAAGACTGATGCATATATTCTGATGATATAAAACATCACAGTTTTGGACTTCCCTGATGGTCCATGCTAAGTTGCTAAGTTGTGTCTGTTTGCGACCCCATGGACAGTAACCCACCAAGCTCCTCTGTCTACAGGATTTTCCAGGCAAGAATACTGGAGTGGGTTGGCAGTCCAGTGGTTAAGAATCTGCCTGCTAATGCAGAAGACACGGGTTCAATCCCTGTTCCAAGAAGATTCCACATACCACAAGGCAACTTAGCCGGTGGGCCCCGACTGCCGGAGTCGACGTGCTCTGGGGCCTGTGCTCCAGAGCGAGAGAGGCCACCCCAATGAGAAGTCTGTGCACCCAGTGAGTAGCCCCTGCTCACTGCAACAGACAAAGCCCATGCACAGCAACAGAGACCTAGTGCAGCCAAAAAATACATTTTTTTTTTTTAAACACAGAGTTTTTTAAGATCTTTAATTTGACTTCTTTTAAACATGCTGTGGGGCTTCCCTTGTAGCTCAGTCATTAAAGAGTCTGCCTACAATGCAGGAGACCTGGGTTCGATACCTGGGTCAGGAAGATTCCCTGGAGAGGGAAATGGCAACCCACTCCAGTATTCTTTCCTGGAGAATCCCATGGACAGAGGAGCCTGGCAGGTTATAGCCTATGGGGTCACAAAAGTCGGACATGACTTAGCGACTAAACCATGACAACCAACCAAACATGCTGTAAGCTAAAGGCATGAAACTAAAGGTACATGTACAGCCTGTTCTTGTGATTTTTAAGTTTGAAAATAAAAAGTTACAAATATACATGTATGCATTTTAGTTTTAAGTCTTATTTCCCTCATTTTTTCAACATATTTCATGTGTGTCAGTGCCTGAAAAGCCTGGATGAAATCATTTAAAATAAAAAACAATTAGGATTTGTTTCTGGGTGTCCTTGCTCCACAGAATGATACAGAAGGCTGTCAGGGCTGCAGATTACTTACTGGTTAATGTTTGCTATCGTGTCCATCCAGCTGCGAATGCGCACCTTGTTCCGGACATTGGGAGGGTTACTGAATTCATGGATAATACAGATATGATAAGGGTAGGGACCACTAAATAGCTTCTGCTCCAATGTTAGTGTGTCCACCTGTGGAAAATACCAGAGAGGATTTGGAACCAAGGAAGAGAATGCCTTAGCAATCTATCTCCTCCGGCTTGAATAATCTTTCCTTGGGACCTCAGTTTTTGAATCTTTGGCTAATTTGAAAATCAAATAGTCACATTCTGCCCTGGACACAACTTGCCATGCTAGGAATAAGGCTGAGCAAATTCATCTGTCTAGCAAGCTCAAAAATTTACATCTCACCGTTGTATAAATGCACATTAAACCAGAGAATCTGGATTTAGGTAACTGATCCCAGGAATTCACTTCTGAGTATGTCCTTTAAAGGTTTAAAGACAATATATTATAGATCTCTGAGTATAGAACCATAAACCTCATTCTAACTGGACTACTGTCCATTCCTAAAGACAGAACACATTTCCTTGCTTCCTTGTAGCCTTTGTTCACACTGCATCCCTATTATACTTATGAAATCCCACTTTGCCATCTTAATGACATATATGTCTACCTCCTTCATGGAAAGGCAAATTTCTCAAGGGAAGGATGATGACCTGTGAATTTTTCAGCCCCAGCAAATTATAAACACTCAACGAACAATCTGTGTATTGAAATGACTCTTTTCAGGCCAGGTTCAAACACTGACTGCAAACACTGATTGTTTAAAGGTTAATATTTCCTTTAAACTTTCTTTTGACATCAAGCAGTTTTACATGCAATGCTACTCTTTTTCCCCTCTTTTATTGAGAAATAATTGACAAACATCACTGTATACACTTAAGGTACACAGCACAATGCTTAATATAGTGAAATTCTACCACAAAAGGTTCAGCTAACAGCCATCATCTCATATGGATACTATAAAATGTTTACTCTTAATAACGATAATGGTAATAACAGCAACTATCATTTGATTGCTTGATATATGCCAGGAACTGTGCTAGCACTTAACATGTATTAATTTAACCATCACAGTAACTGCAGGTTTTTATTCTTCTAATTTTAGAGATGAAGAAACTAAAATATAGAAGTCAAGCAATCTGCTACAGGTCAGTGAACCAGAACTGGAACCAAGAAGTCTGAAACCAGAGCCTGCTCTTTATCACAGGCAACTTTTAATAAGTATAAAAACTTGTTGAAAAACAACTCTCTTCACCATATAACTTGCTCAAAGCCCCACAACAATCTATTAGAGAAGCACTGATGCAGAAAACTGGCAAGATAGTCTAGGTTGGTTAAACAACTCTGGAGAATCCAAAGAAACATTACTGTGGATTCAGCAAATGAATAAAAGCCAATTTTAAAAAGGCTGAAGACTAAAAAAAAGGATGAGTGCAATATGTCATCACCAAAAAGAAGCAGAACTCTTTACCTGCTGCATGGGGCGTAGGTATATGATACGGTTTCTCTCGGGAGGCATCCTTAGTATCTGGTCTAGTACCTGATCCATATTCAGTTTCTTGCACTGTGCATAATCAAATCGGTTTACGATTGGTGCATTTTCTACTTTTAAATGTTTCAGTACCCTGCATCTTGTAGCTACAAAATGAAAACAAAGGTAAGATCTACAAATAATTTATACAAAATAACAGAGCAATGTATATAGCCCATTTGGAATCCTCTTTGGAGGACTGGCATATCTTTCATTAGCATAAAATACTGCAATTAAAAACATCTGTAACACAGGCCAAGTATTATTATACAGGACAACTGACAGTCATCAAAATGACTTGAAAATATGATTCTGTCCCATTCAAAGGAAGACTGTCACCCTCATGCTAGAAGGGAGGTGAAGGGACCTTTTCCTATCTAAGATGTTACTGACAAGAAATTCAAGTCTCAGACAATGACTTGCCTAAATACAGGAATTGTTTAGGAAATGTTTATTGAAGAGGAGGAATGATAGCAGCTACTGAACTATATACAACTTTATGGGTAACAGTTCACATGTGTTATTTTTCATTTGCCCATAGGGAATAAGCAGTGTTCATTTCAATTCTTATCACAGTATAAAATCAGAACCTTTTAAAAAAAAACAAAACTCAGGAATATTTGGATACTTTGGTCTAAAGTTGTACAGTCCAGTATGGTAGTCACTAGATATCTGGAGCTATTTAAATTTAAATTAACTAAAATATAATAAAGCAATTTAGTTCCTCAGACACTAGTCACAGTTCAAATGCTCAAAAGTCACACGTAGCCAGTGGTTATATATAAAACAAGAGAGATACAGAATATTCCATCACTGCAGAAAGTTCTACTGGAAGTGCTGCTCTGAAACATGATTAAATATTCTTCCCATTTAACATATAAATGTGAGGTTATAGAGAAAAGTAAATGTGACACATTTAACTACAATAAGATACCAACTTCAGAAAAATACCCCCTTCCTTTTTTTTAATCTCACATATCATATACATATGTGTAAGCACGTATCAATCACTCCATTAAACCTTGGCAAATGCTTTATAAAGTATAATTATGTACACTTTACAGACCCCCCAAAAAAATCAATACAGAATACATAAGTTGCACAAAGCAAGAAACAAGTCAGTTCTTAAATGATTTTACATGGATAGTATCTAAAACAATTTTGAGTAATAATGGAAAAATAAACAGATAATACATGAAGCATACTATTTATCTGAAGCTTTTAACTCATGCATTTTCAATTTAAAAATTTTAACTTTTAATAACTCGCTTATTTGCTCAGAGATAAATCTGTATATTAAAAAGACAAGAGAAATGTACTGGAAGGGCATATATTAAATACACAACCAAAGGTAATGGGAGCCAATGGGACTGGCAATGAGGGACAAATGGGACTGGAAACAAAAGTGGGGCCTAGACTAAGGATGATGTGCCATGAACAGAGGTTATGACTGATGGTATCAAATCCAGAGCAGTCAAGCACTTAAGGCCCAGTCACCACTCCCTCTGTAAACACACACGTAAAGGCATGTCCAACACCACAGCTAGAAAACAGCAAAGAAGGATTCAAGCTGAGGCCTACTTGACTCCAAAGCTCATAAATGCTGTTGACTTAGCCTGTGTCAGATCAAGTTGCAATTATCTTGAGGAGAACACTGGAGGAGAGTCTACATTAAAAGATAAACTAAGTCTCCGGCACATGGCCCCTTGCAAATACTACAGAGTTGAGAACTACAGAATGAGGACAGAATTAGAAAAATCTAACTGATTCTTTTGAAAAAGCACTACAGTAATGTTATTATAGTATTTATGAGACTTTAACCCTTTAAGCTCAGTCAGATGCTCTAGTATGACATGGGCCCAAGTACATACCATGGATGAACATCATCTTGGGACAGTCTTTCAGCACTAGATCTGTGATTCCACAGTTGGTCATAGTGACTCCAACAAGATTTTTGGATTTTAATACAAGGACCTACAAGGAAAAAATTTAGAAGATGTACCTTCTAGAGTATGTACTTTAAAAAAAAAAAACCAACTTAAATGTTTTCACTGGCACAATTGAGAAGCAACTACTACCAATCTCTTCTCTTTAGGGCAAAGAAAATATGTAAAGATGGAAACTTTAGTTCCTTTACATTATTCAGGAACTTGGTAGGACTGAAAGGTAAGTGAAGGTTTTCCCCTTCACCTGTACATGGTCATCCTCAATCACAGGATCACTGGTACTGGTGGACTTATCCGCTGTCCGCTTCCGCTTCATGGCATGACGTGGCTTTGTTTTGGCAACTTCTAAAAAAGGCGAGAGGAAATTAAAATTTTAGCTTTGTTGTCGTTCTTTCAAAGAGAGCACATTCAAATGCATAGGTATAAACTCCATTAAGGCAACTCTCAATTCTACTACTTGATTCTCAAAGGAATACAAACAGACTGCCATTTCCAAATGATTTCCAAAATAAGATAACCTTCCACTGTCTCAAACATACCAACATCAAATATACACCGTACTCTTCATACCTGGGCCATTCCAACAATCTAATCAACATTCTCATCTCTTGACACTCAACCCATCCTAAATACTACTGGTAAGATTAAACTCACCAATTTCCTGCTAAACAACTTTAAATCATTGACTACTGCTTAGGGAATACATATTAATGCCTGACATTTGGAGCTATACTTTAGCCCCAACCTTTGTCAATTTTACCCCATACCATATCTTAGTCATCTCCTATTGCCAATGGCTCTGAAGTCATTGATCATTTTAGCTTTTCCTGCCCACCTTTCCTGACTTCAATTTTTGAAATACTACCCATCCCTGAAAGATCCAGCTTAAATGCTACCTGCTCTGATAAGTCACCTGGATCCCTAAACATCTGGTTCTATAATTCCCTGTATATGTTTTATTTCTCCATTTAAACTAAAAGCTCCTTGAAGACAACAACATTGTCATATTTCATCTTCGTATCAACATCAGCTGCTAACAATGAGCTAAAATGAACACTTATTGAATGAACTGGCACTCAACATTTACTGAATGATTGAAAGCATCACAGATACATCAATGGAATAACAATAATAGCAAATATTTACTGAGCACTTACTGTGTGTCAGGCACTTTTCTCAGGGTTTTACTTATATTAACTAATTTAATCCTGTTAACAGCCCTTTGAGACAGATTATTCTCCTTGCTTTACAAATAAGTAAACTCAGACATGGAAAAAGAAAACGGTTTGCCAAGGTATCTACCACTGTGCTAGAAAACCTGCAATCACTTATCTGCCAAACCCTGCCTAGTAACGCTCTAATTCATTTACTAGTATTGTTCTAAAACATTATAGTTTAATTATATAATCATCAAATATGTTGATATTATTTAAGTATAAGTTCAAAATTCATCTCAAAAACTTAACAAGCACATATATTTTCCAAGACAAGACACTAAATCACTGTCTTCATTTTGAGTCATTCTGTACCAGAGCATATACTGAATGAAGTAAGGCTGACATTTATTAATTAAATCCCATCATACTGCACACTACTACTAGATTATAAACATTCCACTTGGTAACTCTTGCACTTCAAACTTGAAAGGCCACAAAGAAAGGGAAACAAGGTACAAATACTGAAAATTTCCAAAGGCCTGGGGTTGTATAGGAACTTTACAGATCCAGTTCAAGTGGTTTTTTCTCTTTTCAATATACCAGAACTCTTTCCTCCACCATTCAAAATCTTTGTGAAATATTATGCAAAACAACTGAAGACAGCTACTTTGGTTGAAGCCTAGAAGGGAGTTCAAGAGTTTTTACCTATCAAACTTCCTCCAAGGACTTTGAACTCAAGCAAAAACCCTGGGTTTCTGGAAAAGAAAACTACTGATAAAGGCCAGCTTACACAGTACTCCTGAAGGAGCTTCATGAATAATCTAATTATCTTCACTGACAGGGAATCTAACAGCAGCACCTTTCATACAACAGCCAAATTTCACATACCTGTTTCAACCAATAATAAGTCCTGGTTCCCTCTCCCAGTACCACAAAAGCAAAAACAGGTTTGCTTTCATTCCTTCATCACAGTGTTTGAGTAAGACTCTTCTATCAGCACTCTCCTTTCATGCTCCAATCTTCAACCTCCCACCGTTATGGATTGCTTCCCTCCCCTACTCTTCAACTGATCAGAATATGGGGCTCAAAATTAAATTTCCTGTTCTCCTGAGTACCCAAATTGGCAGTTTGTTTTCTAAGAAAAATTATAAAACTAAGTCACATTTTATATGTAGATAATCTTGAAAAAACAAATATTTCCCAATGTAAAAAGAAAACAAGAGTTCACTGTGTTTTTTTCTTATGCCTCCTTCTTTGTTTAGGGACAATCTTTAGTGATTTTATACATCCATCAGCATCAACATACCTCATATGATGGCTCCTACCACTTATTAAGTTCACAGTTATTCACTCAAGACCCATACCATGTAAGACATTGTGCTAGAAGGTGGGAATATTATGGTGAGCAAGCAGACACTGTCCCTGCCCTCATGGAGCTCATAGTCTATTGGAAAAATAGACAGTAAAACATGGAATTACAATACACAGTGTAGTTGACATTAGTGAAGATGCTACAGAAACACAGAAAAGCAGACCAATGCAGTCATGGGTGTTAAGGAAAGAGGTTAGTATTCATGAGAACCGTATCATATTCATCTTAAATGCCATTCTCTGACAATCCAATTAGTTATTTTTGTGATATTTATTTCATAAAGCATTCTACAATGAGGAGAAAAAGAACAACTTACAGGCATTTATTCCCAATATAGGAAATCACAAGACAAATAATTACTTCTAATATGGTTTTAACACTACATAAGGCCATAAATAAAAAACCAAATTAAAAACTCAAATATTTTCTTTGAAGTGATTTTAAAAATATCTGTAACACTCAGTCAAGTTTGTTCCTTTATTAGTTTGGACTTTTCTCCTTAAAATTTTTAAAGCAGAATGGCCAACAGATATTTTAAAAAATGATAGATTAAAAATAGCCAACTGAAAGTCACCCATATAAAACTTGTTCTTCCCAAGAGATATGGATAATTTAAAAATCAGCAGTTTGAAATTTCCCCAGAAAAGCCATTATTGAAAGTAAATGGACATTTGTATTGTGTTTAAAAATATCAGCAAATAATTTACCTACCATAGACACTATACACTATAGACATTATAAGTCTTCTCAAATTGGAATAAAAAAAAAATCACTAAGACAACAGATATAATCTACCTAAAAAAGTAAAAAGCACTACATAAATTTAATTCTAGTAAATTATTTAACCTAAGAAAAAGTTCTAGTCAGGAAACAAGTCAGAAGAAAAGTGGCAAAGAGAACAACAGAACATAAGGCAAAGAAAGTCAAACCCCCTTCCCTAAGATGGTTAATGTGAAGGATCCATATTAAAAATAGAAACAAAACACCCCCCCCTCCCCCCAAACAGTAACAACTCTTAAAACTTTACCAAGGCACAGGAGACAAAAATAGTCCCTAAATAGGCAGACTCAAAAACTGATCATTATCTTTTCAGTCAATCAATGTAACAGGATTATAGACAAAACATAGGAATGTTTGTTTCTGCAACTTGACAAATTATAAAACCATAAAAATAAGTGACAAATGCATGACTAACCAAAGAAATTTTGCAAAGAGTAATGAAAGAGGACAGAACACTGGAATAGGACAGCATGCCAAGACATTAACTGCAACAGAGGCAAAGTACATGATAAAAGAGTATTTCAGAATAATGATGAGGATGGATGTCAATAAGTAGTATTGAGACAATTAGGTGACAATTTGTAATTAAAAAACAGTTCCCAAAGATTATAATAAAGATTTAAACTAAAATAAACAAATACATGAATAAAAGAATGAGAAGATGTGAACAATTATCTGAGCCAGGTGTAGAGAAGGCTTTCCACAGCATAAAAATAAAGATATCACAAAACTAAACATGTAGATTTGACTTTACGAATATGAAAAACCATACCACAAAGGGTGTCCTAATGGGGTGTTTCTATTTAATGGGCACACACTTTCAGTGTGGGAAGATGAACAAGTTGAGCTGGATGGTGGTGATGGATGCATAACAATGTGAATATACCTAATGCTAATAAGTTATATACTACAAAATGATTAAAATGGTAAATCCATGTTATGTATAAAAAAAGATAAAAAGCATTTAAAATTCAAGCTGGGAAAAGTATTTTCTTCATGGCAGATCTAAAGTTTGCAAAGCATAATAAAATCTTCAAATAAAACTCATATACTTGAGTTTATGACTGATAACAGTACATAAGTCTCATATTTATCTTATGAAAGCTTGCTTTTGTTAGTTTAATTCCATATGATTTAATCAACTCTATTTAGTATATAAAAAGGTACTCTATGTGCTGGGTGTTGATGCAAAGATTTTAAAATTGAGTGAGACTTAGAGAAAATAAAATGTATTATTATTCACTGACAGCTATATACAACTTAATAAAGGCAGCAGAGAGTATTTAAAAATAAGATCAGAAATATAAACAGAATTATAATTAAGAAATGTGTTTTACCCCTACCAAATCCAATGCCTTGGCATACAGATATTAATGAAATTGTATACATATGTATATCTTGAATATATCTTCATCAAAATAATTCTCAGCTAAACCACTTACTTACCTGCTTATCTCCTGGCAAACCTGACTGGATACAAAACTAGACTTTGGAAAAAATTACTAAATACTGCAGAAGCATATATAGGGGTATACCCATATGCTGTGCTCCCCTAGCCCCAACAACTTACAGTCCTTACCTTTTGGCTAAGGTTTTACTAGTCAAGTCTTAAAAGTTAAGACTGAATGTGGAATGGGAGCAGAGTTTATATATTGGGAATAAGACATCAGAATCAGTACAGTATTTAAGGTCAATACATATACACAATTATACTTTTCTTAGAAGCATAACTATCTAAGCTTTTCTTGACTGGATATCTTACAAGCTGTTTTACATGCCACCCCCACTCCCCACTCCCATCCCACTGCTGAAAATTAGCTCAAGATCTATATGATCACAGAACCCAAACATAGAAATCAATTTGCCAAACTGGCTTTATGTAAGAAAACTTATAGAATGAGCAAATGCTCTTCTCTGGTCCTAACCTGCAGTAGCTAATCCTGGCAGCATTGTCATACCTGACTCAGATACCAGCGGTACATGGGAGAGTCTGCTCCTGGCCCTTGTTAGGGGCCTCCGAGGGTAGTCTTCATTAGACTGCACGTCACAGCGCTCAGGCTGGGAGCTCCCCCTCCTGTCCTCACCTGTAGCCCCAGAGCCACTCCCATTAGTCCTCTCATCATGTGCTGGGCCTGAAGACCCCCCTTGTGGCAGAGTCCTAAAGGAAAAGGCGGATCTCGTACCATCCGGGCCATTCACAACACAGGCTCGGCTGGTTGAAGGACGTTCCTCATCAGAACACCTGCTAGTTCTCCTTTGGGATTCCTGGGGCCTGTGACAGCAGCATCTGGGGCAGACAGAACTCTCTGCATCTCCCTCCTCCATGGCCTCAGAGTCCTCTGACCCACCGGGGGAGCAGACACACTGCCTGGACACATCCACTTCTGTAGGGCTAGGCTCGGAAGAGCCGCCGCTGTTCACCGTCCTTACAAAGTCGGGGCTTTGAGAAGCAGTGCTGTGTGAGCTGGAGTTTCCCACTGTGCTGGCGGTGGTGCTGCTGCAGCTGGGATAAACATCCTTGTTTTTTTTCTTTTCAGGAATATCCCTAGCTGCTTTCATATCGGCTTTGATCTGCTCACTGGTGACCTGACAGCCTTTCTCACAGCTGCTTTCCTCGAGAGGAAACTGCTTCGACTGGCCCATCTGATGGGAGTTGTACCTCTTTCGAAGTGGAGTCTTGCCTTTTCCACTTACTGCTTATAGAAAAAGAAGAACGGCCCGAGGAAAAGAAAAGATTTCAGTACAAATTCTGGACAAAAGGTAAGAGTAAATCTGGAACAGGAAACAATGTATACTAATTTTCCTAAGGCATAATGGTGACCACATCACTCAGCTGCTCAAAAGTTCTTTATTTCTCTCTAGTGCCTACCTGATTAACACTCTTGAGATCAGCTGTCAAGGCTTGTCATGAACTAACTGCAAACTAACCTTCCACTCTTGTCCCCTCTATAAACATTCTACACCCCCACCCAAACTTTTCTTTGAATATACCCCTACCTTATTACCTAGGAGCCTTGATTCTCACCAGTATTTTTTTGGCTTTGGACATCTGTTCAATCTCCTCTGCACCCCCACCCCAGAGCCACCGTAGTACATGACCTAAAATACATCTATGTTTCTGACCTGACTCTTCAAGCAAACTAGAGGTTCCCGACAGAGGGAGGGAAAGAGACAGAGGTCGAGACTTATTCATCTCACCCCTCACAGCACCTAACACAGTACCTGTGGGCACAGTAAGGCTGAATGAATATACCTAGAAGCACACTTAAATTAGGTTTTGTCTGGCTGACACAAAATCTGGTCTCTAAATTCAGAAACTAAACTTTCTAGGAAACATTAGGTTAGTCAGCCGGTCACATGACTTTTCCTAAATGTCAGTGTCCATAAAAGCTCCTTTAAACAAGTGTAAAGATAAATCTGAATTTCTTAAAAGGAATAAAGTAAGAAGTGAGTAATCAGTGGTTAGTAAGTTATTCCAAGTCTAAAGAACTGAGCTTACCATACACAGAAATGTGTGTACATTTCAGGTTTGGTGTTAAATGTATACAAATATATACTAAACATTCAGATACATTAAGGAATAGGGTCTTCAAGGAAAAATGAGTGGACAATTTAAAAAAACCTCATCCTTTGCAGAAAATGGTAAGCATATGGTTCTGAGAAATAGAAGGAAAGACAAGGAAAGAAGTATAAACCTAAAAGTTAACAGAATTAAAGTTTCTTGGTGAGGCAAATGGCAGAAGGTTGTGGACTGGATTTAAAGGAAGACAAGGGATTATAAGAACATAATTCAGGAGTTCCTCAAGCACCAAACTAACCACCACCATTTGCTAAAGAAGCACAAGTGGACAGATGACCACCTGGGGAATGGTTGTTCCTCACTGCCCTAGATGACTCAGTTGTCGTCTTTTCTGTGAGGCACAGGCCCCTCACTCTGAGGCCACAACTTCCTAAAGCCTCCACTATGGGACCAACAGTCCTCACATCTCTTCCCCAAGCCCCAGCTCCACAATATTCTTGTGCTGCACTCGCCCCTGACAGCGCCACCCAGATTTTCCCCTCTTGCTTGCTCCGCTGCCTTTCTTGCCCCCTGTCACATTTCATAAGGATATGTTAACTGTACCACAAGCTGTGGTAGGGACACAGTATATGAAGACCAATGTGTCCGTTCTCATGGTGACTCTCACTAACATGTCAGAGTAAGAAACAGTCTCTCACCTGATAATTCCCTAGACTGCACAGACTCTCCAGTTTTTTCTTCACGTTCAGAGAAACGCCGGGCACCATTCTTAGGAATCCAGACTTCTTGGAGTTCTAGACTGTCTTCTTCATCATCACTCTCTGAGTCATGAACAGTAATTGGGGTTGGTTTTACTACACGCTGAAGACCACTGGGTCCTACAACAAAGAGCAAAGGCGTAACAGTCAAGTTTTGCCCAAGAAAGGCTTTCACTCAAAACACTGTTTCCAGTATTTTGGGATCACAGAGATGCTTTGGCTCTATGAAACCTCCCTGATCACTCATTTTCATGAGCATATACTTGGATGAGACACTGTGAAAACACTTTAATTCTAAAGCATTATGTAAACATTAAGTATGACTAATATACCACCCAATATTATAAAGGAAAATTAAAGTAGAAGAGCATATACCATCTCCCTTCAAGATCTTCATTGTTGGAAAGAGTCACATAATCATCCTAAAAATAATACTCATTATAATCAGTTGAAAAATAGGCTAGATATCTTTCTAATTTTGCAAACGTCTGAATGAAAGCAAGCCTCTGATACCTATAGACTGGTGAGAATTATGTATTCTTTAACTAAGTACAGGTCTAACGCACTGGATGTCACAGATATGTTCTTGAAAGGCTGGATGCATGTTACAATTTGGTTCTTTGATTATTTACGTAAAAAAATGTTTTGGGCTTCCCTGGTGGCTCAGCGGTAAAGAATTTGCCTGCCAATGCAGGACACGTGGATTCAATCCCTGGGTTGGGAATCCCCTGGAGTAAGAAATGGCACTCAATGCAGTATTCTTGCCCGAGAAATCACAGGGACAGTGGAGCTTGGCAGGCTGTAGTCCATGAAGTCACAAAGAGTCAGACACAACTTGGTGACTGAACAACAACAAAAAATCTTCTGTCTGCTTGGCATTACAGATTGTAAACCTTCAACTCTCACAACCCACTTTTCTCTGACAAGTGAGGAAACTTTACTGTCTTTTTCCTGTCATACTGTATAATGCCTGGAACAGGGTAGGCACTCAAGTATTTGTTGAGTGAGCGACTGCATCTGTAAGACACTTAAAACAAGGGTAGTTAAAGATGTTTTCAATTCAAAGGCAAGGTAGCATTTGAACAGACCAGGAGTGAGAAAATTTTAGTTCTCATCTCAATCTGTTCCTTGATCAATGGCTGAGTGGTCTTGAGTAAACCATTCAAACTTTTGAAAGAATATTAGTTTCCCTATCTATAAAGATGAAAGATTTTATCAGGTAATCTTTATGGGTTATATGACTGCTATAAATGACCCAGTGGTAAACTGAGACTAGATCTTGTTCTGTTTATTATGCCAAATCAACCTCTCCACTGCTGCTTCTCCCCACTAAAATGAAGGGAGAGTAAGCAGGACATTTAATCAGGTTATTTTCCTATTTATAACTTGAGTGTTTTTTTTTCTCCACACACACACACACGTATGTGTGTATACCAAGAGAGAAAGAGAAGCTGCTGCCACAGTTACAAAAAAATCAAAAACAAATAAGATACACACACATACACACACACACACACACACACAGAACAAGAACTAACACAAGCCTAGTCAAAAATAAACAGCATGTAACACATCATTAGCTGCCACGTCAAAAAAACAAAAAACATCATTCTCAGTGTTTTCCTTTCTTCATTAAAGTCAGGCTCTAGTTTTTAGAACCATGAATGTGGGAAGTCACATGATTACCTGCTTGTTCCTCGTCAACATCCACAGGAATAACTGCCTGACTGTGAGCTGGAGTCTCATGTCCACTCTCGGCCATCACCTCTCCATCTTCTTGCACCATGTCTTCCATCTCATTCAGTGCTTAAACCAAAATAATCACAGTCAAAGTAACACCAGGAGATGTCTAAGAAAACCACAATGGCAGGCAAAACTGTGGAACCATTAAAAAACAAACAGCCTCATGATCATTAGGCCCATTCTAAAAGAATATAATGTAAATGTGCTTCATTATATCAACATCAACAAGAAGTGTCTGATTCTATAGGAGGGGAGACCACAGATGGAAAAAGGATTACTTGGTAGAGAAAGTCGATCATTTTAAGATGAAAGGATGGAGAAGGGTATAGCTGAAAGAAGAAAGCACTTATTCATTCCTGAAGATGTTACCAGGGATTGCTATATGAGGCAACTGTTTGTCTCCCTGTAAGTTATTTGTTTGATGGCAGTGACAGCCAGCTACTGCAAGATCTCATGATCATCTTGTAAGCAGTTAGTCTTATATCTGCCAGCTGAACCAGGATGCACTGAGCAGGCAAGCTCAAATTGTTTCTTTTCCTGCTCTCTAGAGAATATGGTCATATTTTCAGCTCCTGTGTAGCAAGGATTATTAAACACAGGAAGTACATTTTTAACATTTTAGCATCACTCAAATATTTAATCTGCACCTAAGTCTTCTAAGGCTATTAGTGACTATCAGTGAATGGGAATGTTTATATTTTTCCAGATGATAAGCACAATGAACAATTTCAGACTGATAAGCTTCACGATTTTAAAAGATTAACTTCAAATCCCTCAAAGTCCATATTCAAAGCACTCACCCCAGTACCCTCTTACTCCCGACCCCTAAGCTAGAGTGCCTGCTCTCAGTCTGAATCAGGACAATACCGGTAGGGTCCTTTACGTTTATAGCATGGGCAGGACCCAGAAGGCAGCAGGCTGTGTCTACCCTGTGCACCACTCAACACTTATGGGTGTACAACACTACTGCTATCAAATCAACCAACCATTTGAATGAAATGAAGAAACCAACACAGAAGAAAACAAGATACTGTTCCTGAAAGAACTAAAGAATCTATTTAAGGAGATAAGAAAAATTCATACAGTCAACAAAGAAACAAGGTAAAATATGAGTATGCCAGAAACATACTATTCAGATAAATGCAACTGGAATATACAGCAGAGAAGTCTGAGATTTCAGAGGGACACTGGGCTTTGCTTTGGTTTTGAAAATACACAATAGCACATTGCCCCTCATGTTTAGCCTCCCATCCCAAACTCTTTACCAACTCTAGCCCTCAATATCTACATTTCATTTAGGGCCAAAAAAAAAAGGACTGACCTTGTCAAGAAATAATACATGATAAACATCAATCAATTTGCTTCTTTTATTCAATCATCAAGAGTGATTATTGAATAGCAGCTAGTAATTAATGTGTACATATACTATGTGTGGCTCTGTGTTAAATGCCCTCATATACGTTAGTTATTTCTTATAGCAATCTTATGAGGGTATTATTACTCGTCTCATTTTTGCATTTGAGGAAACTGAGGCTTAGAAGGGTTAGCAATTTAAGGGGATTTGAAATAAGGTCCATTTCCAAAGCCTGCAACAAAACACGGACGATGAATAGGTGGAAAATTTATAGTCCCTGCTCTCAGAGAACGCACACTTTCTAGCAGAAATGTCAAGACATGTAAAATAAGGTCAAGGCATGGCAACCTACTCCAGTATTCTTGCCTGGAAAATCCAAAGGACTGAGGAGGCTGGTGGGTTGCAGTCCATGGAGTTGCAAAGAGTTGGACACAACAGAGCGACTAAGCACAGCACAGCACATACTCATTAAGTGCTAGAACAGTCCAAGTAAAGGGAACAGGGACAAAAAAGCAGTTGTTAAGTCTCCTGTTGAACAGTGAAGGTTTCACTGAGATGGAGTGATATTTCATATATACCAGGAAGCACATAACATTTTCCAGAAGAGTAAGTAGGTCAGTGATAAAAAGAACAAGAGTTTGAGTTGCAGTAAGAACATGAAGGAGGAAAGGAGGTTAAAAAGGTAGCCTGGGTCCCAGACTGTGAAAAGCTCAAAACTGCCTCTTATAGGCAGAAGAAATCACTAGGACAGAACAACATTCTTATATCTATGTAGTAGGTTTTCAAAGCTGTTCAGCAATTGCTTTTCAGGTTGCCACAATAACCTGTGAGAATACTATAAATACCCCAAAGTTATTTTAAACTTCTTTAATTGCATTCATTTACTGAATATTTATTTAGAGCCTACTACAATGTGTTACTGTTCCTAGATGCCAAAAGAGAGTTGTTATATTCAATATCTCTAATCTCATGGAGTTTAGTTGGGGAAGAAAAAAATTTTTAGTAAAATTATTTTTTAGTCAACAATAAAAACATCAGAAAATAATATCTATGTAATAAAATTAAGAGGTTGATATAAAAGAGAATAAATTAGTGGCACTTAAAGTAATAAGGTGATCAATAGGTTCAATAAGTCATGGAAATGTAACGCACAGCGTGCAGACTATATTTATTAATACTCTATTGCATATTTGAAAATTACTGAGAGAAAAATCTTAAAATTTCTCATCACAGTAAAAAACTGTAACTATGTATGGTGATTGATGTTTACTAAACTTATCTTGATCATTATGCAGTATGTACAAATAATGGCAATTATAATTCAATTGAAAAAAAAAGACGATTAAGGTGGTAAGGAAAGACAGCTCTGAGATTAATATTTAAGCTAAGACCTACATATCAAGAAGAAGCCAGCCATGCAAAGATGGGGGGGGGGGCATTCTATGAAGAGGCAGCAGTTAGTACAACAGTTGGTGCCAGTTTGGCACATTCAAGCACCGTGTATGAGGTGGGGAGTAGTACAAGGTGAGAACAAAGCCACATTATGTAGCACTTTATGGCCCAAATCAAGAAACTAGATTTATTCTAAGGCAGAAGGGAGCTGTCAGAAAGTTTTACGAAAGGGTGTAACATTGTCTGGTATTTGTTTTTGAAAAATTGCCCTGGCTACTCTAAGAACTAATTTTACTATAAAAGCTACTAAAACATTTAGGTAACAAAAGTCTGGTACAGTGAGGAAGAAGAATGCAGATAGACTAGGGAGATGTTTTAGAGACAGTCAACAGAACTTACTGAAGACTCCACACTGGAGACAGTAGGCAGGTGCTGGTATAAAGCAAAGCAGGGATAATGTCTCAGGAAAGACAGGCAAGATGGCAGAGGAATAGGATGGGAAGACCACTTTCACCACAACAAAATCATCAAAAGATCATTTGAATGCTGAGCCACTTCCACAAAACAACTTCTGAATGCTGGTGGAGGACACCAGGCACCCAGAAAGGCAGCCCATTCTCTTCGAAAGGAGGTAGGACAAAATATAAAAGATAAAAAGAGAGTCAAAAGAGTTAGGGATGGAGACCCGTCCTGGGGAGGGGGGAGTTGTGAAGGAGAAGAAGTTTCCAAACAGCAGGAAACCCTCTCACTGGAGAGTCTGTGAGAAGTTTTGGAATCTCAGAGGGCAACATAACTGGGAGGAAAAATAAAAAACCCCACAGAATACGTGCCTAAACTGCAACTTCCAGTGGAGAAGTAGCCCAGACGCTCATGTCTGCCACCAGCGCATGCTTAGGGTAAGGACCCGGCCTGAATGCCCTGAGGACAATTTGAAGGAGCTAATGTGAGATAGCAACCCAAACTGTGGGATAGCCAGAGAGAGAGAGAAAAAAAAAGAGAACTCTCCCACGAAAGTCTCTAACCTGGCCCTCTCACAGAACAAAGGATTGGGCGAATACCAAATGAGAGCTAGCTGGCTGCATACAGGCTCCTCCCCACCCCCCGCCAGAGGCAGAGAGGCAGGTGCATGACAGCCAGAGCCAGAAGGCAAGGGGCAATCTCTGCCCCAGGGACCAGCATCCTCCACCAAACTGTGAGGAGGATCGCAGTTGCTAACCATGTCTTCCTAGGATTCTGGAGGGCTGACATCTGCCAGGAGGGTCACAGCCTGAGATCAGCTCCCCAGAGGAAACACATAGCACACCTGAGACAGTGTTCTCACAGCACACCCGGGAAACTGAGTGGTGGGGACGAGGGAGGTGATTAAGATGCACGGTCCAGCTGAGACTGTGTGCTCACCAAGCACCTGGTCGCCTGAGCTGCTGGGACCAGGGAAGGGCACAAAACGCTTGCCCAAGTGAGTTTGTGCCCTTGTGGCGTATCCGAGAACCTGAACCTGAGCAGCTGAGACCTGGGAAGTGTATAAAACTCAGGGCTAGCTCTGGACAGTATTCCTGCAGAGCAACCTGGAGCCTGAGCAGTGTAGACCCGGAAAGCACAGGCCACAGTGAGCTGGGGCAAACCCAGTGTGGTCCATATACCGTGAACACTCCCCACACGTGCCAGTGATACTTTTTTGCAGTGTTCCTCCCTCTCTACAACTGAACAAGTGAGCCTAAATAAGTGAACACCTTCGCCCCGTTGTGTCAGGGCGGAAATTAACACTGAAGAGACTTACATACAGGAAGCCAAAACAAACAGAGAAGAGGGAACTGCTCTGGAAGTGACAGGAGCAACAGGTTAAAACCCTGTAGTTAACACTGACAAAGCATTGGAAGGGGCCTATAGACCCTGAGGAGAAGTACAAGGTGGAACAAGGAACTATCTGAAACGGAACTGACTCCACACTGCCCACAACAGCTCCAGAGAAATTCCTAGAAGTATTTTTATTATTATCATTTAAAAATTTTTTATTTTTAAGTTATTATTCCTTTAATTTTCATTTTTATAACCTATTACTTTGCAAAAAAAAAAAAGACCATATTTTTAAAGCAAATTTCATATATATATTTTTTATAATTTTTGTGACTGATTTTCTCTTTTTTTAATATTGTATTTTTGAGAGTTTAACCTATACTCTAGATTCTTAATCTTTGCTTTTTGGTATTTGTTATCAATTTTGTACCTTTAAGAATCTAGTCTTCAGTATCCATTTCCACTTGTAGGTGCAATTACTGGTTTGATTGCTCTCTCCCTTTTTGACTCTCCCTTTCCTCCT